CACACACACACACACACACACACACACACACACACTCACACATAAGAACACGATCGTGTATGCGTTCATTCAATGGCTGAGCCACATACATACACACACACGAGCTTACAACGAGTGCAACTGGTAGTGGCTTTTCTTTTTCATTCAGCATTTGCTTTCTTCTTCTTCTTCTTTCTTCTCTCTTCGTTCTGCATTCGACATAGCATTTCTTTGCTAGCTGGCTGGCGACATCGCATCGCTCTACAGCCGCGATGGATGTGTATGTTGGCGAGATGGAAGATGATCATCACGTTCAAATAGCTTTGGATATACTTTGTAGAGCAAAGAAATGTAACCATGAACAATGTCTGTAGATCGTTCATTTTGTGCTTTAGTTTTTTTCTTCATTTGTCCCGTTGTTTCGATATAAACTTGCTTTCCATTGATGTTTACATCGTGTCTTTCCCTCTCTCACACTCTGAACACAATGAATGCACTTTGCTTGTATGCGACCAGATCGACCTTTGAGTCACATAATCATTTATTTAATTGCATTCAGTCGTCAGATGACACGTTGCGCGAGATAACCACGAATAAATTTGATTTCGATCCACTTGGCCCGTGTCTGTACGCAAGTGTGTGTGCGTGTGTGGGTCAAGCCCGTTTGGTTTGAATTTGTGCTCTTTTTCTCTTTGCCGCGTGCGTGTGCGCGCACGCTGTCATATTTTTATGTGACTGCTGACCGAATTCCATCGTCAGCACCATATTCTTTTCTCTCGTAATAAGTATGAAAGAGTTTAAGAGTTTTGGTCGTCGCAGCCGTTATTATGCATAATCAAAACACCAGTTTTTTCTTCTGGTCACTTCAAAGCTGAACAACAGCTAATAATTGATCAAGAGAATCGCATTTTTGTTACCATAAATACACGCCCAAAAACTCATAAAAATACCAAAAGCCAAAACATACTAACACCCAGTGAAAAGCCCAACAATATGGAGAGAGAGAGAGAGATAAAAAAACAGAACGAGGAAAAAAATAAATATAGAGAAATTTATTTAAATATTTTGCTTATTAAATGTGGCTTTTTCTCATTCTTTGTACGATATTCAATATATAGTTTGAAATGACCTTGTTTGATTCGTCAGTCGTCATCTGAAGACATCCGAAAAAGAAGACACACATCAACTGAGTGCTCACTAAATATGCATGTGCCACATTTGATAACATATATCTCGAAGAAAAAGAGACAGAAGTTCAAAGAAACGAAGAAAAAAAACTGATCGATGAAGTCGAACGATGAAATTTCCCATTCAAATTAGACGAAATCACTTGAATGGGATTAATGATGACACTCAATTCAATTGATGAGAATCGGAAAAAAGGTTTAGTTTTACTTTCGAAATCACAACGACGACGCCGAAAAAAACACTTTGCGAAAATGAACAAAAAATCGCTTCTTTTCGTGGATTTCATTGATTCAGTGCGTTGTTCAAACACACATACGAGAAAAAAGACAATCATCAAATATGCACGATCGAAAAGAAACGGTAAGAAGTGATTTCATGGGATTCCGTTCCATGCATTCAAAATGAAAAAAAAAATCATTTTTCGAACACTTTCACTACAAAAACAATTTGTATATTTAACGAAGAAAGAAGACGAAGAATTTGACACATCACAACATGTAACAAGAGATAGACATATTCGAACCGGACATAATCGTTATAACAATGGCAAAAGAGTTGATTTTTTTTTGCGTTCGTTTTCCGCATAAACCAATGAAATAACAAACAAAATAGCAGCAAAAACAAATTCGAAAACAATGGAGTCAAATGACATGAAATTGAAATGGAAAACATTTATTATTTCCATCAAGAAGAAGTCACCGTTTCTGTTGATTTGTCCAAGTTGTCACATTTCTTTTGTTTGGGTCAGCGAGTGCACTGTGGCTGTTAACGATGACGCTTTTTAACGATGAAGAAGGCGAAAATGATATCGGCTCGGACAAATTACGGTTTATTTGGCTGGAGAGAAAAAAAACCATACACATAGCGAAAGGTCTTTGACCACCGAAAATGAATTTCAATTTCCATTGAAATGGCAAAATTTCTTTACGTGTTTTTTTTCCACATTATATTATCACTGTTGCACGCTGATATGAATGGAAAATGATATGACATTGCTACGTGGTAGACGAACAAACGAAAAAAAATTAACAGATTTTCAACGGAATATATATTTTATTTTCCAAAAGGAGCTCCAGTATTTTTCGTCGGAAAATTTTATTATGCCATCCGGTTAGTGGTGATTGCTGTAAAGCATGCAAACCGGACCCAGACGTGCTAATTTAATTAGTGTAGAGGTTGCAAAATTCAAGCATATCCATGTATTAGATGCTTCTTCCTTTTCTTTGTCACCATGCACATATATGATTATAAACAGTTCATGCCCTTTTGTGTGCGTTATCTTTGTGTGAAATCCCGTCATTTTTTTCGGTGTTGTGTGTACGCAACTGTGCAATAGAGAATTCGGACAAAGCCAAAGCAAGCGAAAAAAGCGATATGAAAGGAAGAATCTGTTTAAAATTCCGCACATCACGTGTGCCTGAATCTATGCGTTGTACGCACGATTTAGCTTCTGTAATTCACGTCTTTGAATCCGTGATTATCATTACATATTCCGACATGAAAAAAATGCCATGGTTTTTTTTTCTTTATTTCAATGTGTTTCACTTTTGATGGTTTTCCTCCAGGCGCAATGTCCATACACCGACGGTGTGTGCTGTTTTTTTTTCCGACGCGTCATACATGATCGACATGACCAAACAATAAAGAAACGATTGCTCGTTCATTCGCTTGACTGTGGAATTTCGTTTGATTCATAGATAAAAATGAAAGTGCGTCGTGATACATGGTATCTGGCTTCTGAAGCGTGGCCTTTTTTCGGTTGTTCAGAGTTGTTGCTTTTTTTCTGTTCGGCGTGTGTGTCTTCACTCGGGTCGTTGTACTCTCTTTTTTCAGCGTTGCTGTTCGAAAATTGATTTGAATAAGTGTACTTTGCATGCCATTTGAATGAGTTAGCACGTATTGTGTGTCTGAGTGCGCTCGCACAGGCTGCGAAGCATGCACAGAACATTTGAACGAACAAAATCACATAATTCAATCGTATTCTCAATTTCTTTTTCTCGATTTTGGAAATTATACAACTTATAATTTAATTAAATGGATAGATTAAGTTGATTTTCAACTGAATTCCCATTAAATCTGTTAACTCTTTCTCTCTTCTCAGTAGAGTGGACGATGTGCAAAAAACTTTAAAGGAATTTTAACGAAGCATTTAAATGCGCAAAAGATTATTCAATGAAAATGGGTGAAAATTGGAAAAAGTTGCTGGGAGTCCATTTATGTGTTTGCAACATACTTCTCCATGTTCAAACCTATTCAATGTCGTTTTCATTGAGAACCATAGAGAATTCTATAGATATAAAATCAAATGTGAGGGAAAAAGCCATACTTTTCAAGAGTTACTATTTCATTTAGCTTCAGAAGGGGAAAATTGAAGGGACCATTCCATTTGGATTGCGTTGCATTGGATTGTCTCTTGCCATCGAACCGTTAATTCGTTTTTGTTTGCTACAAATTCGGATTAAATGGGAGCTTACAGCGAGTGTTCCCAATAATAATAATATAATCAATGCTCATCATCACCCTGGCTCCATGGCATGAAGTAGAAAAATGAACACACTGCTGCTTAAAAGAAAATTCTTTGGAAATAGCTTTGCTTTATCACATGCACTTCAATTTCAAATATCCCCATCTCAGGCACGACTTTATCTCAAGCCATAGAGATAAAGAAACAGAACCAAAATTATATTCACTGATGCCATTCATATACAATGGCAACAATGCTCACGACGCACTCACAAAATAGCACAATGAAAAATTGCATTCAGCGATGAATCATTGGCCCGAATTCGTGGTGTTGGTGGCGGTTTTTTTTCTAGTACTTTCACAGTATCATCTTCCTTCATTTGCGTCTTTTGCGGCGTTCACTGATTACAGACATTTTCCAAAGCATCCGAGTGATATTTGCCCGAAATGAGATATCGCCGTCGAACTGATGAGCATCCGTTGAATTGAATACGAATGATATTCTAAATGGAGTCAGAAGCGACCGAACGAAACAACAACAGTAACTGCATCCGAAGAAAAATAGAACGAAAAAAATGTAACGTCTGTACACAAAGAAGCGCATTGCTTAAAAACTTTGCCAGCAATTTTTCTTCACGTAGGACATTCAATTCCAAGACACATTCACTCATATCGCTATTTTGGCTGTGAAAAGCACGCGTGCTGTCGGATTGTGGACGCTTGTGCGCAGGTTCAAAATTTCGTATCGCATACAAATACACATTTGAGCAAGATACACAAAACAAGTACTCGTACAATGCAATCCTTCTGAAGCGTGTTCAATTCAACCCGCCGACCGATATGCGAACGAGTCCGAGAAGCAAAATGGATGAAAAGCGGGTATTGAAGATAGGTTCGCAGAAAAAAACAAATTTCTACATTCTAACCAATACACAATCCCATGTGCTAAAGCTAGCAATTGACTCGTATCGAAAGGAAGCGAAACGAAACACTTCACAGAGCATCATCTCTGTCGAGTTTTCCTCGTCAATTTCACACAACGTTCAACTTATAGCGAACCATATGATGCGGCTTCCGTACGGCAAACGCACGCGTACACACACATACACTCAATAGCCAGCACACAACGCAAATTACATACGTGCAATCATTTTCAGTTGTATGTGATTATGATAACACAAGACGCTTTTCATGAAAATACTTTAGTACATAATTTGGAGTATAGCCGTCAACATTTTCATTTGGTATACGGTGTAATCGTCGAAAAGTCGACTATTGAACGAACAACCCATTTCTATCTTGGATATGAGAATATTTTTTTTCGGTTTTCGATTCTCGATTCAAGCTAGTGTGATTTTCAGATGACTCTGTTTGTATTTATTTCGTGGTGAAATATAAAGAGCCGATTTTTGCAAATCGAAACAGACGATAAAGCGCTAAGTCGCCGAAAAGTTCATTGACCGCATTTTTTTGCGCTCTCGATCGTAACGTTATTTATAAAAGAAACAAAAACATTAACGGATCGGAAAAGCTCGTATGAACACGATGAAAAGTCATGTGCGTATTTACATAGTGAAAACAAAGTGTTGAGAATATTTGAATATTTGTAGAAAATAAAAGAAAAATTGTTCACGAATGAAATGCAACGCGTTTTGGGCTGAAATTTATTTGTGATGTGTAACGTATACGTCAGTTGAATTTACTTAATCGAATTAAAACACTTTGGTAGAACGATATATCGGCGGCCTCATTGTTTTATATACCAACCATCATCGGTGGTGGTCGGTTTGGTCGCTCGGTCGCTCGCTCGCTCCCTCGCATACAACGATAACAACGACGACGAGTACAATGATGATGACGACTACGGGCCACATACACTCTTAACTGAACAATCGATATTCAATCAAAACAAACATCGATTAATGCTATAATTTTTCAGATTTGATAAATCAATACGAACTGTCTACCAAACAAAAAACGCGATAGCACACGAATCCGTCGCCATACATACTTACGTACAGCAAGCAGTTGAGTGTTAGAGTTCAGAAAGGTTCGTTTTTCTGTTGTTTGCCTAGTACAAAAGCAAACATTACTGACGACGAAAACAAGGACCGTATTCAAAAAGAAGGTAAGGATACCCCTTTTTATTCTCTGCTCTCTGAAGTGAGGAAAAAAGCAAACATGATATTCAGTGTGTGTAACATTTATGCTTTATTTACTCTACCCAAATGTATATGTAATTTCCTTTTTTTGGAATAAATGCGCTTCCCATGGATTGGGATATTACAAATTCAAAGTGGAGCGTATCTTTTGGGCCCCATGCCACTCATTCAACCAACAGAAATGTAAAAAGAAAATGAATGAAAGCAAATCTATCCGTTTCCATACTCGAATGTGGAAAAATTAAAATAGATACGCATATACCATATACCATTCACTTAGCTGATGATTTTTGGTTGTAATATCGACACAAGAATGTTTATAATAAATGGCAACAAAAATGGAAACTGAAGTGCAAATCAAATTGAATTGTCTGAGAACAAGCGGTATCAAATCTATTTCGTTGAGAGCGAAGTAGAAAGAGATGGAATAATAACATCGAGACCGACATTAAAAATTGAATCGAATACAATTCTTTTCTTCTTATTATTCTTTCTCCCTCTTTTCTCTCTCTCTGTCTGTCTCTCACTCCTTCTCGTCAATTCTTTGCATTTCTCGACAAAACCAACTCGAAACTCGAGAGCGAAGCATGAGCATAGAATTCAACCACTTCTCAGCGTGTATTTGTAGTTTTTCGCATCATTCTCGTATTACATCGTTACCGTTACACTCATTCTGCATTCGAAACTATGCACATGACAACTTCCACACTGTCAGCTGAGCTTGATTTCATACTTGTTTGCGGTGAAGTACAGGAAAAGTATTGCAATTCACAGTCGACTGCCATGAGCTTACTAGAATTGTCCCTGGACATAACTTGTGCCCACATCTTCCGGTAGCTTGAATGATGGATGCATTTTCGTATGCAGAAATCTCACATTGTAAGATGAAGATAGTGAAAAGTTGGTATTCGGAATGTAATGTGTACTAGATTTTTGTGTCTGCTCGTGCTTTACACTGCACTTCGAGTGTGGAGTGTTCAGTTGCATGCATATCAAAATAAATAAATAAATAGACAGGTACAAACGAATATATGTTATATCAACCGTTGTGTGAGGCGAATGGTAAAATCGAAATTATTTTTATGTTATGAAACTAAAAAGCTTCCGTGCCCGATTGTCATAGATTCTTGTTACGGCATCGTCTTATATATACAATGTGTGTGTTTTACACAGGCACATTGAATTGGTTAGAATATGACAAAGGAAGTGACACAGATACGCACACGATACATGCTCATAAATAATGATGCCATAATTGCAACCGTATAAATGACAATTGTGTATTCGCAATCAGCATTTAGGTGGTGCACTCCACGTTTAACCAGAGGAGTTTTGAAACCATTTCAAAACCTAATTGGATGAGACTCGACGGCATTCGAGCGATATGTGGTCTGAAGAAAGCTTTGCATGTTTTCTTTAGATTTTCTTCTTTCAGTTTGTGTTTTGTTTCAATATTTCGTTGCTTTATGCAACTAATTCGCTTGTTTTATACAAGCGATCGGCCATTAGCTGGTTCAGCCAGACAAATGTGTCCAACAAACATCCTTTCGTCTATGTGACGAAACATATTCATGATGCAATTGTCTCCCCATTGAAATGCACATAAATAGATTCGAATTTAACAAATGCTACTGCAATTGATGTACATAAATTTCAATTTTCCGCTTTTATTCGTTTCGCATTCGTTATCATCAGTAGCATCGATTCACTTGGTTGTCTTAGATTTTCTCATCGATTTTTTTACTCAGAAATATCAATCCGAATAGAATGCAATTCATCCGAAGCACAGTTATCGAGAGCATGGATATGATACCAAATGAAACAAATCTACATCTATTTGTTCTCTTTACCAACCTCCCCTACTCTCATGCGCTCTACATTCAGCGTAATGAATTCGTCTCAATGTTTTTGTCACTTTATTTTTATTGCCTTGTGGTGATATGGCGGAGTCGTTGATTTTGGGCCACTCTGAGCTTTCCATCGATCCAATCGAAGTGGATTGGAAGCCACAATATGACACACAGACAATGCGAATGTTAACGCGAACGCGTGCTCCCATTCATCGCATACAATCACAATAAATATTTAACAATTTAAGAAAACAAAAAAAACATGGTACTTATTGCGGCTATTGTATGAATATAAAACGAAGTTGAAATGAAGACATTTTGTTCGTTGGATGGTATCGTTGTTGTGTGCCAAACGGACATGAAGTGAACATTTATTTTGACGCCGAAGTTTATTCGTTGTGTGCGAGTGCACAGAAACAAACGCAAACGGGCAACATGAAACAAAGTATCAAGTGAAATATGGAAAAAAAAATATTCAATAGACGCCAAATTTAGTCGACTCCTTATTCATTGCACAAGATTTGACCGCACCAAAATAGATCGACCGATGAGCAAGGGTAGTTAGTTGCTTTAGTAACCAGCAATTGATATCATTATTATGGAGTTAATTTTTTTGTGTTTGTTTCAATGGTCTTGTTTTTCTTCTCGAATTATGTTAACATTTCAATGGGCATTAAGCACGCACGTGAAACCGCCCAATATGCATGCAACATAGACAATAAATAGTAATTGAATACATTAATTCAGATAGAATGCCATGAAAGTGAAATGTAATGCGCGTCACCCTGACGACAAATGTAGCCGCAAATATGACAAGAAAGAAAAATGAAAACGGGCTTGTTCACACATCATTTTTTTCCCCATTGTCGATTCTTTTATCTTCCATTTGCCTGTTCATAAAATTCGCCCGAAGGTTTTTGCCTTTTAGTGCCTGACATCACATTCAACATTTCGCAAAGCACGTAATCCGAAAAAAAATTCAGCAAACCATTCAGACGAAAATCTGGTTTCAATTAACTCTCAACAAACTCAGCAAAAAAAAACTGATATCATTAATTAGAGCATAATTTGAAAGCAACGCTTCAATGAGAAAAAGCAAAGGAGAGTGCTTTTCAATTGGGATTGAGAGATTTTCGGCGAGAAAGATAAAGAGTCTTTATTAAAGACAGAATGAAATATTCATTTAAAATTATTATGATTCCAATCATTTTAGCTGCTCTTTCTCTCCCTCTCCTTCACTCTCTCATTCTCTGAGATAGCCACATCAATCGTCAGTCGTTAGAGCTCCCAAAAAATATTCACAATGCCACAATTCCGTCCGATTCGGATAGATACATGAAATTTCGGATAACGTTTATTTTTTTTCGTTCATTTCCACCGAAAATTTCATTGAATCCATTATATTTACAGCATAATTTGCGTTGTCATCACGCAACCATTTTTCCCCTCATGAATTTATCTGGAAAATTATTCTGTCGATGCGAACGAGCGTGCACGAATCGGAAACCGGCGCGAGAGGAAATTGTTTACGGCCAACTACAATAAATACGAAATCGCTTTAAGTCCCAATGATCATCCGTCATCGCGATTTTTTTTTGTATTCCCAAGCTGACGACACTTCAGTGCAAACATCATTTGAGCGCTCGCAGCGCCACGAACTCTCGTATCATTTTGTATTGACTTTTCGATAGTTCATGAGTTCGCCGTAGACTTCGTCAAAACGTGTCGTCCCTTTGTGTATTCCTTTAACTCTCTCTCTCTCTCTCTCGGCTTTTCAATATTTTCGCCGAAAATCGTTTCTTTTTTCTGAAATAATGGTTACGTAGCTACACCAGAGTTATAGAGTTTCAGTTGTGCGATGATTGATTGCCGCAAAAACGGAATGAGCAAGCAATTAGATGAATTGAAATGTAATTTCGGTGAAGGTTATTGCCTACTAAAGTGTTTACCTTTTTCATTAAATGGAAAATATAAATGTTGCAGATGACGAGCATCTTCTCCAATATTCCAAACCACATTTCCACATTTTTTGTATATTTCACTTGAAACGCAGTATATATTCTGTTTGTATAGTAATTTTGTCATCAAATAGAAAGGTGCTTTTCGAAATGGAAATGGGATTTTCAAAAACTTTTCCATAGCACACCCACAATTTTGAACACTTGAAAACTTTTCCGAAGTTCTTTCGGTTGAGAAGTAATATTGGGTCCAGAATCCAATCACCTGACAGACAAAACTTGAACATTTTTGAATAAATATTAAATGATACATAAATATTGCAATTCAAAAGTAATAAATATTGAATTGGTCTTTGTTTCCATGTTGTTTGGTTTCCATTGTTCACAATTTCAACCCAATGATTGTCTTTCTCTCTCTCTCTCTCTCTGTGTGTGTGTTCCTTGTTCCATTTTTTATCGATTCAAGTGATAAACAGAGAACCATTTGAATTTGTACCGATTTGTACTCTTGAATGGACAGTTACACCTCTTCACGTGGATATATTAAAAATTCAAATGCAAACAATTTTGCAATGTATTGTCACAGCACGGTACAAGGAATGGAAAAATTCTCATGGGATTTACATTTTTCGAGAGATTTTTCCACTTTCAATGCACCTTTTATCAACCATGTTTATAAAAACGGTCACACAGACTATGACTTGACCCAGATAGAAGAACTAGGATAGATATACCTAAAAAAGAATTGAATACCAACCAACGGAAAAAAACTTGTTCATCTCCTTGAAAATTATTCTACGTTTTATATATGGCATTTGCGATGCGGACATAAGCAATTGTACACGGTGTGGCATTGTGCTTGTCAGCTGCTTAGCTCTAATTTTGCTTTCGTGTACATTATTCATCGATAGTCGAAAGATGTGAATATTTGATGAAATTCGAAATATTCTCAGAAGATGTGCGATTGAATGTGATTAAATTGTTCGTGGATTTGTTCAACAAAACGATTCGTTTGGAATGAACTGCACGACATAATGAAGCATGCGAGTCGAATCAGTATTTTCGATTTCACATGAAAATTGATGAATGCCACAAGCATGGTGGAGATCAAGTCAACTGAAATGCTATTTTCGATCCATTCATTCACAGAGCAGGAGTCGTGAATCGTGTTTTTTTTTCTCCAAAGAAAAATGTGCTAAATGAGCATCGTTTATTTTTGAATTGAGTAATAAACGCGCCAATAAGCGGAAAAAACGCATGTTATTCATATAATGAGAGTTAATATTTTGATGATGCATCTGAATCCAAAAATAGTCGATCAACTGACAGTCGCACATCCGTCGCTTTTCTCCATTTTCAAGGACAAATCAATCGGAATTAATTGGATTTTTCAATTGGAAATTCTATTTTGGATTCGAAAGATTTCATTTGTATTCTCGCGACCATTTAGACTAGGATATCCATTGTATTTCCAAATCTACTCGATAACGGAGGAAATCCAGAGATGAAATCTCAACACGATACTGGTTTGTTGCATCTACGTAGCGAAGGCCTTATGATGAAGTGAAGATTTTCGGGTAGTGTGTTGCCTTTTGAATTTTTAATCGCATCACGTAAAGGCAGATCAATAAGAGCGAAAGAGAGCGAGAAAAAAATCAGCGCAAAGGAACATCGTGCTGAATTTTTCATCAACTTCTTCGGAAGTGGTCGAATCTGGGAGATGCCGAGCTCAATGTGTAGCATGTTAAATGTCGACGCCGAAATACCACGAAGCGTTGTTTTGATACATCATGAATAATAATCAAAGTGTAAAAAGTGATGTCTGTCTTTTGGAGAAAAAAGCAATTTTCTTCACACGTGCCCCCTCGTTTGATCCATTGGTCCAAAACGGTGCTTCTGTATCTGTAGCCTCATAAAAGATGTGCAGTTCATAACTTTATCAAAGCCCGCTTTGATCATGAAGCAATTTAACGATGGGTCCATGTAATCATTAGGTTTGCGTGCCGCTAGGGACAATTATCTACTCTAAATTTGACTGGAAAATTCCGGGAACCGACAAAACTTCATTGAAATGCCATTAATATATGTATTGTAAATTAGATTTGCCTTCAGTTTAGTTTGTCACACCATGACATTTCAAAGCAGTTCGTCGTTGGACCAACGTGAAAAAAGCCATGGACAACAAAATATTTTGAATTTGACCTTACGCTTTTTGCAACGCAATTTCCACATTTTCCATTAAAATTGTTTTCCAGTTGCCGTCGGACATATGCTGAACGCAAAATAAAATGAACGCAGCTCATTCAACGCAATTTATATCATAATGGAATGATGAAATATATGTTTTATCTAACATTAAAGCCTTTTTTCTGCTCTTGTTATGGGTAATAATAAAAGCTATGGGAAAAAAACAGCAGCAACCGAATGTGAATATATGATTAACTTTCAAACTGGTTTATTCAATTAGTTTTACACATTGTAATTACAATTTATTGCTCATATAAATGCGCTTAAATCAACCCACAGCAAAATGTGGCGGAATGCATGTTTGAGGATACACTCTGGAATTCTCTCTGTTCGAGTTCATCAAAAAAATATTAGAGGATAGGAAATAAGTTGACTTCTGCCATACAAGTCAATTTGAGAGGAGTAAATTCATTAAATTCAAACTGAAAGCAAATGTTGAAATTGGTTGAAAGTAGGTGCATTCTATGGAATTTCATTCTGTTTATTTCTTCACTACGAATGTTTCATGTTTCCAAACCGTATCGATCATTTACTTCGGAACACAGCCAAAGCTATTGGCTAATCATCATCAAAATGTAGCTTATTTTGTTGAAATAATACTGCGTAACTCTTATTTACTTGATTCATTCCGAGAATCAAACTGTTGTGTGTATTTTTCCACGAAAAGCAAATATTATCGCAGCGCAACACGATTTATGTCACAGTCATTTCTTGTAAACGCTCCCACAGTAAGAAACTATGGAGCAAACAATGTATCGTACAAGCAATACAACTTGAAATGATTGCATTGTTGTTCACTTGTTTCTTCTCTTATCACGTTCGAAATGATATCAACTTCTAGGAAATGCTGGAATGAAGCTGAACTTTTCACTTACCATTGAAAGTATTTCATCATGCACTTGCTGCAAAAACTTTTCGCCCGAGATGAATACAAGGTCTTTTGTGTTTATGATTATATTTTTTTTTGAATGTTTATTAGCAAAAATTGTTATTCTGATAAATAAAAGTTAGTTTTTTATTTCACAACTGAAAAATGGAATTGGCTTTTTGTACATAGTTTTTCCCTTTGTTCTTCCATTTGTTCGACAAAAATCGTCACAAATACAAAATTTATAATTATGGAATTCAGACAATCTCTTGTGCATTTGGTTGAGTGGTATTGAATTTTGTAATAGTTGGTTTTTCATCTGTATTTTCAACGAGTCGTTCGGTGTTTTCAGCACTTTCCAAGTGTAATTCCGTTTCATGTTGATTCTGAGCTGGCCTATGCTTTTTTCCAAAGAATGCATCCGCAAACAATCCAGCAAACACTAAAGCTGCGCCCAACCATTGTAACGGCGTTGATGGATTGCCCATGAATACGATGGAAAATAGAACGGAGAAGAATTTTCGCACCGTTGTGGTAACAGAACATGCCAACGAACCGAACGATGCGACCATCGTGAAAATGAACAATTGACCAACAACACCTGCCGTCGCAAATGCACAAATGTGAAGAATTACATTCGGATGATGCGACACGAATGCAAACACATCTTTGAATTCACCCGTTGCGATGACAACAGTGACAAGAATCACAGAGCCCCATGCGCTCATTCCGAGCATAAATTGACGTGAAGTTGGTCCATGCACGGCTCGAATTTTGTCTTGTATCGCACCCAGTACCCCGTCCATCGTTAAACTTAAAATCAACAATGCGGTTCCATACAGTTGATAGTTGGCTGTATTTGCTTCGTTTTTATTTTCAGTTTTCTTCGGTTTTTTAACTTCGTCACTTTCGAAAAACTTGAACACAACTACACCGATTACAATGATTAGAACGAAAAGGTAGCGTTGAGTCGCGTATCGCTTGCAAATGAATAGGCCGGAAATCATGACTGAAATCGGTTTTGCCGATTTAAAAATCACTTGCATTGGATAGGTAACCCATTTTAATGCCTTATTCGAGCTGACCATAGCCGACGCATTTGCTGCCGCTGCTAGTATATAATACAGACAATTTGTTGTATCCTTTTTATCCTCCGGTTTTATAATATCTAACGCTGTAATCAAGTTTAAATAAATTAATGAAAATTCACCACAACTAATTTCGGGAAAAAAAGTATTTGTTGAAGAAAGAAAAAGAAGATTTTACAATTTACCTTTAATAAAAGTGAATGAAAATAGGAATTGCACACAGACCAGTGTAACGGCGTATTCGTATCGTTCACATTTGTCGCTTTCATCGCAGTATTTGCCTCTCATAATTATCTCTTGCAGGTATCCAACGAGCATATATGATAGAAATATGCCCAAGGCAGTTATGATAAATTTAACTTTGCCATTCTCTTCCCACTGTCGGCCAATGGAACTGGCAATCCGCTTAAATCGACTCTCCGTTGGCGATTGCTGCGGTCGGGCAGCCATTTCGACGGCTGTGTAGTTCGCCTCTGTTGGATTCTCGTTTGCATTTAAATGTGACATTTTTTTCTACACAATTTTATTACGTAGATTTTTGTTTGTCCTTGATTAGAAAAAAAAAGAAAACAAACTCGTTGTGTCAAGAAATATTAGCAAACATGTAATCGCATTGGATGATTGCATTCAACTATTCAGTGTTAACATTTCAAAGGGTCACTCAGTAGTAAAAACAATCAGGGAATCTATTACAAAGATTACGACACATCTAAACATGATTAATGATAATAATAATGATAAACGTTATTTACAAAAGAAGCAACGACAAAATGACCTAATCGCATTCGACTGATGTTTTATCGTCTTGTTTCTGTTGGATTCAACAATCAAAATTATGACACATAATTGCATTTAATGGATGAAATTAAACTCGCTTGGTTTTCATTCATCTTTCGCACTTCGATTCACTCTCTCACTCATTCACTCGTTCGTTCGTTGGTACGTTCGGCCAGTCAGATAAGTGTTGATATACATTGAACCATTCACACATGTAGTACAATACTTATATCCGTATATCCGTATATCCGTATATATGTTTAGATTTAACTGTATCAGATCACGTTAGGCAAGCGAATGAGTCACGCTACGTGAGAGAGATAAGTAGAAAACACATTGTTTACATGTATTTTTCACTCTCGACTTTGACATACCGGCAATATGTGTGTTTCTTGTTTTTTTCCGCTTCACATTAACTTGCAACGCATTCAAAATTCGAATAAATTGCGAAAAACTATTGAACTAAACTACGATGAATATGGAAATAACTTTGAAGTTCACGCAAAGCACATGGTTTTCTGGCCGAATGAACGTTTACATTCATTTCAACAACACATTTGACGTCTTTCTTCCACAGACTCGCAAAATAAACTGATCCACTGTGAGTGTTTCAACTAATACACAAACGACTCGTTATCTCAACATATTTAGATTATTTAGCGGAGTGCGTTGTATGAAAACGATACAAGTATACAATTGGAATAGGCCACAATCAGCTGTAGCAATTGTAACTGTACTATTTTTTTTTGTTTACTTTTTGATTTGTTGATTTCATTCTTTTTCACTGCATCCTTACTATGCGTCCTGTCATTTGTCAAAATTGTGCAAACTATGGATTTATTGCTTACACAAACCACCACCAGAGGACGATGGATAATAAATGTCACATGTAACGAAGACACACCATACACACCTATTTCTTCCAATTAACAATGTATAATATTTATATATTTACAATACTCGTATGAATGAACGAAAAAAAAAACATTTCAAATTGCCTTGAGTCGTTCAGTATTTCAACGCTTATCAAACACACTCAACCGAATGAGCGATATGCGGCGAATAAACAACGAAATGAAAACAGATGCATGAAAGTGTTAAGCGTGTGGTCGCATTGGGCATTAAAATTCAACGCATTCATTCAGTCGACCAATTCAAATATATCGTAGATTTTTTGGTCAACTTGATTTTTGTACAATGGACAATTAATAGCAAATAGTACGAAGTTTGACTGCGCAATTTATACACATTGACTACCTCGGATTGGTAGTTTGAAGAAGTGTGTTTTCTCTCCAAGAAAGCCTTAAATAAATGGTCTTAATCACATGAAGTCATCGAATGCCTTTCGCTCACCCAGATGTTAGATAAGTTGGGCTTGGCTATTATAAAATTTCAAACGTCAATTGGCTTGTCGATAATAAGCAGCAGTAACTTTTTTGGGCCCTAATCACATTGCTCGCGTTTATTTTGTCGTCAGTCAGTTTTGTACTATGCATAATTCGATTAAAATGCCAAAAGAAAAACAAACCCAATTCAAATACAAAGGATGTTGCACAATTTGTACGTCGTTTATCGAATCGAGTTAATCCATATTCAGTGTGTTGAAATAAGTAACATAACTTTAGCGCCTACTCTCTACCTCCCTCCCTCTCTGTCTCAAAAATCATTAAAATGAGCTGCTCATCAAACAAAGTTTTGAAAATCAGCTTCGATGCACTATACCGAATGTTCATTGCTCTCTGGTAATATTTACATGGGATTTTTGGTGAAAATTCAAAGAGTTTTGAATTGCCATAGATCTCTGCCGTTCAACATATTTCACCGATGACTGAAACTTTTAAATTGGATGAGCATGAATTCGGGATTTTTGGTTTGAGGTTGTTGTGCTGCTAAATTTAGTTAATTTTATTGATTACACGAATAATACTGTGTTGAGATTCTGCATGGTGAAGAGGAAATTCAAGTGATGAGGAAGGGGTTTAGGGTTAAATTGGCGTTCAGCCGTTCGTATGATGCGATTATGTAAGCTACAATTCATACCTTGTGCCATGTGCTACATATTTTCAGGGATTTTTATTCGAAAAGTGTTCTCAACCGCCGTTGCCTGCTCGTACTTTACTGTCAGTTTAATTCCGTTTATTAAACTTATAGTTCTTCCGAAAACGCCCAGTTTTCCTGACCGAACACGTGCGCGCATACATTTTACTTTAATAAATGGATTTGACTTCTATTTTACATGGGCTTAGGTTTGACACACATTTTAAGGTGTTAACTGCAACCGAAATTTTCGGATGTACTCGGGCACACCATTTACCTTCTATATTATTTAGACATGAATAATTTTCACTGTTCGTATCGCTTCTTTCCTCCCATAAGTCAAGCGAGAAATTCTCGACCGAGTGTTCATGGTTTGCCATTTCAAACAGTGTTGTCATATCGAGAATTTTGTGCATTATGTCCAAATTAATACGAAAATAAAGCTCAAGGCAACAGCCAATTTGAGCAATAAACAGCCGTTCAAGTAATCACATTATCCCAATGATTCTCTAATAATAAATCGAAATTACCTTGATATTTTCGAAATGAAGACATTTTTCCTATTTTCAATTCAAGTGCTATTGATTTTCATGCGGAAAATATTGAATTAATGAAGGAAAAAAAAGAGAATATGGTTGTTTTCGAATTTCGCCTGCGCTAACTATCCTTAAATTAGAATCTCTCGATAACGGAAATAATTGAAAGACTGAAGAAAAAAGAACAATTTACGATGGATTTGTTTTCTTTTTTTCTATGTGCCACTGCGCTACAGTGTGCGAACAAATAAAAACAACTTCAATCCAATGCAAAATCAATAAATGCCTTTAAATTTGCAGTGTTTGTACACGGTGCATATTTCAAAATAACGTCGGCCAAATGGCATGATTTTGAATATAAACAAATCAAAATGTGAAGTGAAGTGTATGTACGTGTGTTTGAAACGTATGCAATTGAATTAGTCATCGATCCAAGACACTTGAATGACATTTTCTGCACACTCGTTGCCTTTTATTCTATTTAAAGTGTCTCGATTATATTACGCGCTAAGCTTTCCGACGATGACGATGGAAGTCGGTGAGGAAATTTACTAGCTACCGAATGGAATGCTGTGTGTATGTGTGTCTGTGAGTGAGTAAGAATAAGTGTCTCAACAGAATAATAAATTTGGCAGCAAATTGTATTCAGGAAATGTCTTGATTTCATCAATTCAAACACACTCGTGCTTGAGGATTGACTGTTGCTGGCTTCATTTTGTAAGCAGCCAAGCGTCGATTTATCTCTAGCAACAATGGAGAACGAGAAGCAAAGAATGCCGTAATATAACAGCCATCAAATGAATGGCCACATTGGAAACGTTAAAAATGCCATTTTCGTCGAGTGTGAAAGGGATTGTAAACGATGTTGGCAACAATGACGATCGTGCGCGCGCGTTTGAGAAGAAAATTAATAAAATGGCTTGGCTGTTGAGTATGCCACGCTTTTTTTGTCTTCATGTTCAATAAATTACCTGGGGTTTTTCGTTGCCCCATTTGATTTATTTGGCTTTGTTTGCGACGACGCCAATGAATTTTGCTCTTCCACAATCGCCGAATTTCAGAGAGCGTGTTCGTCGTTCATGGTGCACCGAAATGCGAAAGTAAAGAAGAAAATTGAAAAGCAGCGAATGTATAAAATCTGAATAATATATGAAATCCTTCGTTTCTCGTTGCTCCGTTCGTTTTCTTTCACCGGCAAAGTTAATATATGTTTGCTCGTGTGGCTTTGCTTCGTTACAATATTATTACGTACCTTGGATCAGTGTGCACTTCTTTTATTCCACGACATTACCTGCAGTAGCATTTATTCTGTGTCGTCCGTCGTCGACGATTTACAGCGGTTGTGCAAGCATTGGGATTGCGCTGCCGCTATGAACAATAAAATTCCCTTGTTGTTCAAAAACTCCCAACTGCGAATATTTTGCGAGCAATTTGCGGCCAAATGGTCGAGCGAGCAAATTAAAGAATGCTACAATATTAACGAAAGTAAAAATGAAGAAAGAAAGAGAGCAACAAGCACTTGCACCGGCTCCAATGCTCAAAATGATGCCATTCCAAGGATGTGTGTGTGTGTTTCGGTGCTGTTTGACTAATCATCCAATCGTCTGCCGAGAATTCATCAACATGAAAACTGGATGACTGGATGGTTGATAATGCAAATTAAGCGGCATTGTGCTTCATGCTGTTAATAATGACTTTCAACACACTTTGATATCACTTTGTGCGGATCAACAACGGAAGGTTAAATCTTGACTTCGTAACGAATGAGGAGAACAACAAGAAGAAAAACAAAACCGAAAACAACCCACACCCGAAAAAAGAACCGGTTATCAGTTTATTTGTCTAGAAAATGGTAATCAAAAACGGTGAAAAGAAACGAGAAGAGTGTAATCTGAGCCCATCAGATCGAACAATAACCCGAATACCGTGAATGAATGATGTAGAAGAAAAGCTTACGATAATAACAAACATCCACACAGTCAGCCATTCTCCCACTGAACGGAAAACTTATCAAACATTTTATTATTTACTTTATCCTACGGCACAGAAATTTCAATTTTTTCCCTTGTTGAGTGCGTCTCGTTTGTTATCAAAAAAATAAAATGCCATTCGATCGAGGTTACAGTTTACGGCAGAGCTTCACTTTCAGCATTGCTGCGCTGTGTTGCCATTTATTTTCCACCTGCAATTCAGTTTATCTACTTTATAACATCAAAGTCATCTCAAAAATCGAATTATTTTTCCCATTATACAAACATAATGGCATTTCGTATACACCATTTAATTAGCTGGTTGATGGAGAGAAGCGTATCATATACACTTTTGGTTAATGCAGAGGCACACACGCACACATTCAACGCTCACAGTATCAATTTTTCATACATGAGCTCACATTCAATTATAATTATTATCAGTGTCTCGATAGATTTTTTTTTCTTCTGCCACGCAGACGACAATCGTTCTCGTTATAATTTAATATCATTCATTTATGCTCAGGCAATGATAAGAATTTTTTTTTCTCGTCAACAACAACAAACACACATTGAAATGCAAACGAAAAAAAGTCGTTCATGTGAATGTGTCACTCGATTTCGTTAAATAAAATATGTGCTTTAATAATGTTTGCACTGATTCTATTGTATGCATTAAATAGAGATAAATTGTTTGATTTTTCTGTTTGACTGAGTTCGATAGTAGCGCTCGGAATATTAAATGGAACCATTTCGCAGAATGACTACCGTATCAAAGCCAACAGATTCGCAATCACCAAACGAATGTGCTCCGTTCGCTTGATATGTTCGCTTTACCAGTATGGTATACACAAACTTAAATGTGACCATAAAAACATCCGATACGAAGCGAGCGAAATAAAAACACCCCGTAACGGTCAACAGCAATTATAAATCAACTACAATTTGATCTTGGTGCGCATTTCCATCGCGTGAGCTCGCTTTTTCGCCCGCTCGCCGATCTTTGAATACTTGATTCGACGTGATTTAATATTGGAAATGGGGCACGAATGTGTGACATGCTAAATTGCTTTATTTGGTTATAACCAAATGAGTGAGTTCATGCTTGCTATCGTGCCATTCAAGTTCTCATTTCGTTTATATTTCCCCATCTCCGTCGCGTTGAGCTGGGCTTAGATGAATTTTTTATCATTTAATTGGACTTGGTGGTGCGGGCGGATATGTGTAGGTGTGTGTGTGCAAAGCATGTTCACACAGATCCACCGGTTTTTTTTTCATCTTCTTCAAAACAAGGCACCAACTCAATTTTATTCCAACCATATATCCATGTATTTTTCCATCCAGTTGGTAATTTTTTTTCGACTTGTTTTTCTCTCATGAGCCGAAAAAAAACAACCAGCTTTCATTTGAATGCATATTTTAAAAATTATACACTTGTAAATCTACATGGAGCTTAAGCCAAAGCCAAAGTAAAGCCTTGTTTTTTTTCTGCTTATTCTATTTCGGATAAAGAAAATAAAGGAATTGAACCATAAGCTACTTTCAAATGTAGTACTTCCATATTTCGGTGCATCATGATACGGAGTAGCTTATTCGCGGATGAATTTGCTTTGGCGTCGCATTTAAAATGTAAATAGCGGTATGCACGAGAATATTTCTATCAAAAACACAACGCACGCATTCCGCCCAATAATTTTCGAGTATGTTCAAAAAATTCGCAATTAAAAATTTCCCGCTTCTATACGTATGCGTTTGTTTTTTTCTCTCTTTATCCCACTGAATTCCTAAGCATTCTTATGATCGGGATGGTCAAAGCGACGACGGGACTGGATTTATTTCAGTAAGTTTCAAAATATGCTCGAAAAAATTATTTTCAAGCGTTAAACGATAAAAAAATGATTTACTTTTTGCTCCAAAGCACACATGTTCATTCACAAACATTCGTTGTACACTTTGAAAAGAGAAGAACCGAGGAAGAAAGAATAGAAAAAAAAACATCGAACACAATCCACATCATCACCCGAAAATATGGAAACTGTGGGGAAAAAAAATCAATTTTTGAAAGAGTATTTATAACCACATATACATTCAATATACGTTGGGAATATTTTCTTCGTTTAGTGTTCAACGGTTATTTGGCTGTTTATTGACGGGGCCGGTTCATAGACCGAGTACAGTTTGTTTTTCGCTCTCTACCATATCTCTCACTAACGAAAATGCGTCGTATTTTTTTCTTTCTCTCTCTCTCTTCCTCTCGTCAATACACTTGATTGTCACACATACACAAAACGATGATTCACAAGAAAACACATCGATTTTTCTCTTTATCGAATGCAAAGAATAGCACATCAAGCGATAACCATGCCAAATGTGTCGGATCGTTGCAATTTACGCGTAAAAAAATACGGAACGTCCTTTCATTTATATGTTTATGTATACAATTAAGAAAGAAAAGCAAAAGAATGAATAGACCTGTGTAGCGGCGACGGCGACGACATTGAGTTCGGCATCACTCGTTCGACTAGGTCGGCGATCGAAAGATGAATATGAACGCGTTTGCATCATCCTCATAATCATCAATAGCAGCAGAAGCGTGTCTCACACTCACGTTATCGGACGGTACAGTTACTGTGTGTGTATGCTGTGAAAGTAATTGCGTATCGCACCATTTTCGACTTGCGCCTAATATCCACACAGAGAACGACCAAGTGTAAATCAGTTAAGGAAAACGACGACGGCTGAAACATAGACAACAACAACAACAAAAACAAGATACGAAAACTCGGTGTAAATAAAAGCAAATACAAATAATGTAAACATGAAACATGCCCCCTTTGCCGCTGCTGGCTATTGCGTTGCGCGCTGTCGCATTCGGTGTGTTTTTCTTTTTCATCGTCTTTTGTGCATGTGTTTTTTGTTTTGGCGTCGCGCTGAATATTTGGCATAGCAAATGGATCTGGCATTCCAACATTTCGTATTTTTAGTATGCAGCCAGCGAGCAAGTGTCATATTTTGCACTCAAATCTAATTTTAAACACAAATATTTTCCATTTCGGTGATGGTAAAATGCCTTCAATGGAAACTTTGATCAACTAGGGTGACAACGTCCACTTTCAAATTGAACTAGGCTGTAAAATTTTGCGATGCTCATGCAACTGATTTCCAAAACAAATTAAAGTTCAATTAAAATGTAGCTGATGCATCAAAGGAATCTCCGATTTCAAAATTTTCACTAATACACCAAAACAAAAGCAAAAGTATTAGCGCACACATATTATCTGTGAAATCTGGTCGATGTTCCTTTTTGTGAAAAGACAATTTCTTCTTCTTTCATGTATCAAAAGATGTGTTTTTGTTTGGCTCCGTCGCATTCACAGCGGTCGACCGAACGAAAACTATGAATGAAAAGCTGAAAAGCTTCAAAGAAATTACTTTTCATCGCACGAACTTGTTTGTTTATCTGAACACATTTTGCCGAGCGCACACATCCGGGCGATTTACTGAAATTGCCAAAGCAAATAATATTTGCGGATAATCAAAAGCTACCTTAATAAGACCTCTGTACACGAGGAAATTTTATCTACGCACATGGAAGCACACACAAAAACGGTCGTTCGGTGTGTCTCAAAGCCGAGACTGAGGCGCACACGAATCGACGAAGGTCGAGATCCATACCAGTAAATGTATATATTTATATACAGACTTTTATTCTCATCATGTGTAGCTGCTGCTGTTACTTCTACTGATGATGCTTCTTTTTCTTCTTCGCTTTCCCCTTGCAGTCGTGAACAATGTTGTTCAGAATTCAATAGAATTCAGAATTACATGTTTCTCACAATGTATACGCTTTCGAATGACGATAAAGCGATACATTCGTTTGAAAACAGCATTGAACGCAGAACAATGATGAGCAATAACAACGAAAAAAAATATCTGTAGATGCCCATTAATCACATGCTTGTATTGCGTTTAACAAACCCATTAATTAACTCGTACGCGTGGCCATTGAAAATAAAACGTATCGGAAATTTGAATGAAATGTTAGGACCGAAAATGTGATGTTGACGCTACACAGCCCAATGCTAATGATAACAACACATACACAGACACAAGACAATCTATCAAATGGGCTATGGTTGGTGGTGTATGAACGCAACAATCTAAACCATACACCGCACTGCCATGCGAAAAGGTTATGACCAACAACGATATGAGCTTATCGATTTCAATCAAATATTCCACAATGTGCTGCGGATTGGATATTTCCATTGGACTGATTTTTTTTATTACTTTTCCGTACACAACGTGTCAAGGGAAAGTATAGGAATTGGTCCCGAAAACTTTTTTCGCAAAATTGGTTTACATCATCATAAAAACTCATGAAACGCGTAGAAAACCACTTTTTGAGACACTTTTCCATTCGTGTGCCGTCTTCGTCGTTGTCGTCGTTGTCGTCGTCGTAGCTGTTTGTAAACACGATAACTCAAAAAATAATTAAGATAATCCAAATCTGGAAGTCCCAAAAGTTTTGTATCCAATAAACTTAGTTTAAGTTCGAAGATGAGCCATTTTCGATTTGATCCTGGGGTACTTGCCCTAAGAAAAACCTCAAAAAATTGACACTTTTGTATGGGAGGTACCCGTAAATGGACTCCGATTGGCTTCAAACTTTCTGAGGTTTCATTTTTTGGAGAAAAAATAAGATTTTGAAAGTTTCATGTTGATCGCATTTGCAGAAGTTTGGTTTTTGGCCCTCAATTTTTTCCAAGAAAATTTCGACAAAAATTGAGGACAAAAAACCAAACTTCTGCAAATGCGATCAACATGAAACTTTCAAAATCTTATTTTTTCTCCAAAAAATGAAACCTCAGAAAGTTTGAAGCCAATCGGAGTCCATTTACGGGTACCTCCCATACAAAATTGTCGAAGTTTTAGTTAAAGTGACCGATTTTTCACTTCATTTTTATTATTATATTTTCACTGCCTTTATTTCAAGGAAATTCACAAAAAATAACCAAAAGTACCTACGGACAACGCAGGCCAACGGTACGGAAAAGTTCGGGATTACCAATGTAATTCTTTTTATTTATTAATATGAATGCCCGAAAAAAGAAACATCACCACCACCACCACCGCCTAAAATGATAAATACGTCGTGCATTAAACAAATATGAAGCCCATGGCATACATACCATTCAAAACCGATATAGCAAATTATGTTGATGGTATAATTTCATAAATGGAATAATTTTCCGTTCATTTTAGCCCAAGTAGCCACAAATATACGGGGCATAATTAAGAAGCCGATTGTAGAGCATTTTCATATCATTGCATTTATCAAAGCCATATTTACATATATGTACGCACCACAGAACTAATAGGCACATTTTGCCAAAAAAAAGCCACAACAATGACGCTTTTTTGCATGGATTTAAAATTTAAATAAAAGGTGTCAAATAAATAAAGGTGTCAACGGACAAACAGCCTACTTTTTTACACAAGTGGCCAAAATTATGTCTAATTGTACCAATAATATGGAAAGCTATATACCAAATTGTAGGTGTTTAGGTCCTCTTTCCATCGATATATAAATGTTTCAGTTATTTTGAAATTTTTCTAACGAAATTTTTTGGACGGACAAAACCAAAATTTGTCCGTCCGTCCGTTTGAAAAATCTGCCTATCCAGCTTTTTCTCCTCAAAATTGGCACCAAATCTTCAAAATAACTGTAATATTTATATATCCGATGGAAAGAGGACCTAAAAACCTACAATTTGGTATATAGCTTCCCACATTATTCGCACATTTAGACATAATTTTGGTCACTTGTGTAAAAAAGTAGCTGTCCGTCCATTTGTCCGTTGACACCTTTAGATTTAATTACAAATCCACAAAATTAATTCCAACTCGACTTTTCAAGCATTCGTACATATTTTCGTTTGATGTGAATGCTCTTTTTCCATTTGGGCTAGGATTCATGGTTCGACATTATTTTGTGTTTCATGAATGGTTTTTGATTTGAATGGAAATCTCGTATCTCTTCGTCTTCCAACAATGTTATTCAAAATGATCAAAATGAGCACCTCAAACATGAGTAGTTTTTATGGGATCAAAATTCGATTCAGGGACTTGCACAAATAGATGCATACAAAATACCCATTCAGGAGAAGTTCGTTCGATAAATGATTGGGATTCTTTACAAAGAATTTTCTCAAGCTGAACTAAACTGACGAAGAAGAAAAAGAAAAAGAAGAAGACGACGACGACGACGGAAAAATACTTTGGCAGCAAATCTGTTTCTAAAAGCATCGCTTAGCCTATGCACATCAAGTAATATTAAATTCATGGTAGAAGAATTATAATTTAGTACAAGCGGAATTTATGTTGTCGACTGCGTTGAAATTGATTCGATGCTTGTATTGATTCTTGCTGGAAATTCGAACCTACGTACCTCTCATGCTTATAAGCAATTTCAATATCTGACAACTTCAGTGCACAACAAAAGGAGAAAAAAAGTAGAAGAATATGTAACATATTTTTGCCATAAAAAAATTTGTTGTGTTCTTTTTCTCAGTTTTTCTCCCGTACTTGCCAGGCTTGACGATTATTGGCAGTCGAGAATTCGATGTTTACCCTTTCAATGAAAATCCATTGTTCATGTCATTTTGTGTGATTCATTTATTCGATGGTTTAGAGTGAATTTCACTGTTCGACGTCAATATTTTTGCTTGAGCATTCAAATAGCTGTTACTGCTGCTGCTTCTGCTATTGTTGTCGTTAGTGCTTACATGTTATTTTCTTTTCTTCTTCTTTCTCTATTTATTTGCCGTTTTCTTTGACGTCTATAGATGGCATTCGTCGAAAAAGATTAACGTAACAAGGGTGAGAAAAGGAATATAGTGATGAAGCATAAAACGACTAAAGAATGTTCTGGGCTTGGAAATGGTTTTGCGTGGATAAACATTGCGATGTGCTTTGTGTTATTTGCTTGACTGTGTGTTTTCATGAACTCAGACATTTGCTTTGTCATATGTGTGATGCCTGGAAAAGGATCATGTCCCACAATTTCAATGAGTCAACACACATACACACCAACACACACCGGGCAATTGACGCATTTGCATGCCAAAGCTTTTCAAAATGGTTCGATGATTTAACAAATGGGTTTAGCTGCATTTTTCAAAATTCAATCGAAGCCGGAGGTTGATTTTTGCAATCACAATCCGTTGATACAGGAGCTCAATCTTTCCACCTGGATGACGTATGTTGTTGTACAACATCCATGACCAATACACCGGAAGTATACCGTATTTACACGTACAGTGAAGTGGTTCTACCACTATGTTTACGTTGTCGCGCTTTTATTACGGGGCCGCAACAAAAGCCAACCCCAGTTTGATTGACGTGAATCATTCAATGATCTCTTTTCCGATATAATTTTTATTGATTATTGTTATGGTACGCTTTCGATTGCGCTGTAGCCCAACTCAATGTAATCCATTGCGATGATAAAATCCTGGAGCGACCAAACTACCAAACAAATTGAATTAAAAAACTGAAGCCGACATTTTTTTCTTTGCAGTGAGTCAGTTTCCTTTCTCACCACGCCTTTTGATGCCACATAGCACAACTATCAATCCAAGAAAGACAGTGACAATTTTCTTTGCTATCAAATATGCCATACTAATTACATTTTGTAAATGAACATTGATTTGAAGCATATAACAAGAAATCAACTTTCCCACACCCATCCAGCTACCCAAATGACAAAATTTTCTTGTGTTGTGTTTTTTTCCCCAGTTGCTATCACGCAAAGTGATAAATTAATCATTTATTCTGTTACTGTCGCCGTCGTCGCCGTCAAGTACTTACTTCTCCGTTTACCTGTCAATGCGGATTGTGACCTTTTCGAACTCAATTTTTGAATATTATCGACAATGTGCGTGCGGGCAATAATGGTTTCATTCCAGATTCTATCTAGAATTTTCTAATGATTTCCCCATTTGTTTGTGAAATAAACCGATCGATTGACACTTACATTATCCAATCGGACAGCATCGAACTGTATCGAATATTCGATACAGAAAATTTTCTGTGACCATCTGTCCACCAAACAATAGTTTTACCAAAAACAAAACATTATGAGTAAATCAGGCCATTATTTCAATTAAATACACATTGTCTATGAATAAATACTACGAACTAAAATTGATTACTAATCATTTTGGCGGCAGATAACAAGTAGGTTAAAGCAGGTTGATCGGCAAGGAAGAAATCAATGGGATTCCCACTGAAGAATCAAACTTTCAAACTTTTATTGTTGTTTCATTGCATCCATCCGAAATTTTGTTTTTGTCTCAATTGAACAAATAACCATAACAATTTTAATTAATACTCGTGGGTATACTATCTACATTATACCTAATTAATGAATATTGCAACATTTCAACATTTCAACATTTACATTTTCCACCCGGCAGTTCGATAAGTGGAAACGTGCTACAATTTTGCAAAAAAAAATTGTTGAAATGGCACGTGAACCGATATATACATACGCAAAGCGAGAATCCATTTTCGATTACACACTTAATGTCAAAAACAATGTGAACAAGGACAATTCGAGAGAGCACTAAATAAA